GTCCCTGCTCACCCTCTCCATATGATTCCTGAGCTTACAGTCCCTTATCACATCTCCCCTATCAAATCCCAGCATGAGAGGCAAGACAAATCCTGCTCAGCTGTCTCCTGTGTGGGTTAATTTCCCTGAACTTTCCTCTAAGGACAAAGCCCATTGAGCTGAGGGATGGAGAGCTTGGTCAAAATGAACTTGCAGACTGTGAGTTTTTCTGCAAAGCCTCTGGGAAGGTGAGAGCTCTCATCCCATGGGAGGGGAAGGGGAGGCACCAGGGGATGAGTTTGGAAAGGAGATTTTTGTAGCTAGCTCAGATTGTTGAATTACTGCTCCTGTGTGAATTTTTGTTTCTAAATGCAGTGGCAGGTATTAGGATATTGGGATTGCAATTAGGAGGCAGGATAACCAGGGGTTTTATGTATGTGTCTTTTGATATTTAAATTTTCTACATAGAGTCATAGCTCTGGAGCTGCCTGTGCTGGCTTTGCAGCTCTTGTCTAACCAGTGAAACCCATTTAAATCACAGAGACTCTTGGGTCTCCCACCTGTCACAGCCCCTGCTACAGCAAGAGAATCAGAAAAACCACTCTACCACCTCTGGCTCAGTTTAGCAAACATGATTTGGGGTATCCAGATATCCAGTGCATCCCCAGCCATACAAGCAGCAAGTCTCAGACCATGTCTAGAGAGAAGGGAATGCCGCAAAAATCTGGAAAAAAAATCAAAAAACATCAAAGAAATTAAATAAAACATTAAACTAAAGAAAAATAATAGATCATTATGGCTTTGTGGGATTAGAAACACTTCTTAGGCAGCCTTTAACCCCTTAATTCACTGCCAGTGAGTTAATTTAGTTCACTCAGACCTTGTGCATGAACAGAAAGCAAGAATTTGAGAACCATGGCACAGGGGTGTGGGGTGCTGGGGTGGTGCCATCAGCCCCTCAGAGCAGCTGGAGCTGAGCTGGGTTTTCAGCCCCTGCAGGAGCAGCTGAGCCCTGGGGTGATGGTCAGCCCTGGCACAACCCAGCCTCTTCTTGCCCATGTGCTGGAAATATAAAAGTAAAATGCCACTCTACAGAGCCATGCTGAGGCCTGCCCTGAACTCCCCTGGAGGTCTTGACACGACGTTTTCCTTCCCTTGGGGACATATAAAAGCATTTATCCACACAATCCATGTGTGCTGGGGGCTGCCCTGGGAGCGTGTCCGTGGCTCAGGCACGGCTGTCAGGGGCTCCACACATCTCAGTGCATTTCAGCTCAGACCCCCTGGACACACATCAGCATTTTCTCAATATTGGTCTTTCTGCTTCAGATGGATTGAGCAGAGACTAATTCCTCCTTTCTTGAAAGCAGCCCAGGCCTCGGTGCCCGAATCTCTCATTAAACAAGCAGATTTACTGCCTTCTAATTTCCTATAGATTTTGCATTAGCCTCTTACCTGCTGTGCCTCCTACAGCAGACTGGATGAGTCTGTTCCCCATCCGGGTGGCAAACAGTGTCAGGACTCTAAGCACATTTACAGGACTTTAAGCACATTTACAGGACTTTAAGCACATTTACAGGGCGTGGTGGCTGCTGGCTGGCACCGACTGCTGACTGCAGCAGGTGAGGGGACAAGCTGTAGCTGCCATCAAGGAAAACCTCCAGGCTTAGGCTCATTTTATCCAAATCTGTCAGAGACTTAACATCTTTGTCTGCATGTAATTGAGGACATGAGAGGACAGGGAAGTAAGTGGATAGGCAACAGCACAGACCGATGGGGGGACTGCTGAGACAACCAAAAGGAATATGAGAAAACCAGGAAAAAACATTAAAAATAGCTCCAGTTTTCAGGGCCACATAGTGCAAGGCCTATAGAAACTGAAGGGAGGGTCATAAATCCATTAAAACTATTTACAACACTATGAGAACAGGGGCAGTATTACATTTTCCCCCGCCACTTCAGCCCCCAGTGAGGAGGAAAGGGGATGGATGGGGAATGGGGCCCACCAGACAGTGGGATGAGGTGCTGGGAGGGGGCTCAGGAGAGGTGGGTTTGCTGGAGCAGCTCCCAGTAGATCCTGTAGCACTGGTGGGAGCAGCAGCAGCACACAGGGAGCTGCCATGGGCTGGGTGCTGGAGCAGTGAAGGCAGTGCAGGCTCTGGCTCCTTTCCTGGGAATGGTCCTGGGGATGGACAGGGTGCTGGCTCCTCCCTGCTGGCCTGGCAGCTGTCTTCTGTGCCTTCAGCCCCATCTGACCCCGCAGGGAGAGCTGAAACTCAGTCTCCTGCTGTCCATTGGGAAGAAACCATGAGAAAACAGCAGTGTTGCGAGTCAGAAAAGAGTCTGTTTACATCTTTGCTAGAGCGGATGAAAGCACCCAACCAGCCCTGTTTATTTTAGCAAATGTTTTATGGATCGTCAGGAATTTTCATTAAAGTGTTATTTTAAAATTTTCTTCTCCTCTTTCTGAATCAGGAGATAGCAGAAAGCCAAGGAGACCCTCCTGAGACCTGGTGTGGAGTGTCTAACAGGGTAATTAATCCACGTTCTCTAAGAAACTCTCCTTCACATCTCACAACTTCAAAGAAAAGCCCCACAAGGTTTGCACCCCACTGGCTGCAAGGTGTCCATGTCTTGCTGTCTGACATTTGAAGCAAAGGGGATTCATTCTCCCACATCCAAGCTGAAATTCCCCAGGTACTAATCAACAATCTCACGTTTTCAGCTTGAAATGATTTGTGTGAAAGGCATTAGACGGTAGGAAGTGGGGTGTATGACAGAGTTCTCACTCAGCCTTTCCAAAGAGGAAGTAATTTTTTTATTTGCATTCCTTGCCTGGTGACGTTTAAGATTTTTGCTCTCAAATTTTAAGCAGTAGAGGGAACTGGAACACCCTGTGCTTCAGCAGTGTTAGAAACAAAATCTGGCTGTTGAGTGTTTGTGTGTTGTCTTAGACCTGAGGTTCCATGCTGAGATATCTTCTTTAGTGGAAATTAAATAACATACAGTTGCCCCTGTCTACAAGGCTCATTACTGTCTGTCAGTTCTGACCATTATATCCACTTAAAATACCACAGGGAGAGCTTATTGGGATTCTTCTGATATACTATTCCTCCAAAAGTCAATCAAAAACCAATCTAGTGCACTTAAGGCTTTTACTGCTTTGCTGAAGACAATCTCCCAGTATCGGCTAATCTGCACAGCCTGCTCCGATAGCACAATGATTTTTGAGGGCATGTGAGAAGAGATTACCTGCCTGTTTGTAAATGAGAATAATGGCTCGCTTTCCCTGGGCTCTGGGTGTGCCACCAGAGGTGACAAACCCAATTACTCCTCCTTCTCCAACCAGAAGAGGGGGAAAAACCTGAGCACAACGTGTTTGGACTGTGCCATAAAGGTGGCATCAAAGGTGGGTGTGAGGAAGCACCAGTGGGACCAGTGGGGTCAGTGGGACCAGTGGGATCAGTGGGATCAGTGGGGTCAGTGGGGTCAGTGGGATCAGTGGGATCAGTGGGGTCAGTGGGGTCAGTGGGATCAGTGGGGTCAGTGGGACCAGTGGGATCAGTGGGGTCAGTGGGGTCAGTGGGACCAGTGGGATCAGTGGGACCAGTGGGGTCAGTGGGATCAGTGGGGTCAGTGGGGTCAGTGGGGTCAGTGGGATCAGTGGGGTCAGTGGGGTCAGTGGGATCAGTGGGATCAGTGGGATCAGTGGGACCAGTGGGGTCAGTGGGATCAGCCTGCCAGGGAGGTGAGCAGCAGTGGGCAGTGGAGCTGAGTTATTTCCCCGAGGTGCTGGTACGTGAGGCAGGCTCCAGCGTGGGAGGAGAAGGGTTTGTTTTGAGAGCAGCTCATAGTCCCACAGCGTCCCAGGACCTGTGCATCGCTCTGCTCTGCACCCAGGGCAGGGAAACAGGGAATGGGAAGCAGCAGAGGCACAGCAGGGTGCATGGAGGGAGACAGCCTGCCAGAGCAAGGGGACAGACCTGAGTGATGCTTCCTGCAGGTGGAGGGGTGGATGGACAGATGGACAGGCACAGCACTGTCCAGATAGAGTGCCAGAAGAGTTAAGAAAATATTGTGTCCCTATTAAGGGTCTGTGAACTTCTGGGACACTTCTCAGGGGTGGAGCAGCACCCTCCCCATCACAAAGACAGGGAAAACAAGGCACAAAACAATTCAGCAATAAGCACAGATAGTTTAGAGAAACGTGCAGAAGAGAGCAGAGAGATCCCTGCTCCCTGTCCTGTTTTACTGAAAACAGTGTCCCTTTGCTCCCTCAATTTAAAAGTAAGTTTCACTTCTATATTTTTCAAGACATGCAGTGTCCCTGAGGGTTGTGTACTGGCAGTCAGCATCAGTCTGGCTTCCAGATGACACAGAATGCCTCCATGGATCCTCTCACCATCCATAACCCAGGTATTCCAGCACTGCTGATGCTCTCACTCACCCTGAGAGGCTCAATGCCTTTGGGGAGAGACAGCCCACACTCTGTTCCCTTTCTGTTTTAGCCCTGTCATAAAGCCAGGGCTCTCTTTTTGTGCCAAAACCCCCAACTCAAGCATCAATTTATGCATATTTCATGCATACCTGAGGTATCCTCTGCACAGCTGTACAGAGCTGTACAGAGTTGTACAGTTGTACATCTAAACAAAGGCAGATTTCTCCAAGTATAGCGTTTACTGAGACAGAAAAGTGCAGTGCTGGGGCTTAGCACAGCCTGAACACCAGTGTTCTATGGGTATAGCAGTCGTGAGTTGTCTTTTGGTTGTAAGAAATGACTGGTGTCCTTCACAAACTCCTTGGGGCTCAGGTATGCTCCTCCCTGCCAGAGAAAGACATTTCTTGCTTTCCTGAGCTCAGTTCAGACAATTTTCATGCCAGGTTGTGCATGTAGTCTGTAAGCACATTTAGTGGTGTTTGAATGTGTTAGGGAGCTGGACACTTACTGTGACGTTCCAGGGCCCCATTTTTAATATCCAGGGCTAAAACTCAGTTTCTTTTTCTCTTTCCCTTAGGTGAGCCTGGAATCACCCTCTATTAACTCAAGGTGGAGTTTCCTTGCTATAGGAGTTTTTCTAGGATACAGAAAGCACAGAACAAATGCAGTGTTGCCTGAGGTTAAACTGCTCCAGACCTGCCTTCAGAGTCCTTCCCTCATTGCAGAAAGGAATGGGCTGCATGAGACCACAGAATACTTTGGGACCAGAGAGGGCTGCACTCATCTTACCTGCTCCTTGCTTTCCTAAGAGGTTTGTTAAGAAATATTTCCTATATTTCATGCTTTAACTATCAGTATGAGCATTTGGCTACTTATTTCTCTAATTCCATTCTGGCCATACTCTTGTAAAACCTCACCCTTCGCATTACAAAATATTAAACAAACAGTCTTTTGTGACACTAAGGTGTAATACTATTTTGGAAGCACAATAAAGAGATCATTGTATTCCAGGTGGTTCAATGACAAATGTGGTTCCTAATTTGAGTAACACCTCTCAGTCCCTGCAGAGGTTTTCCCTTCCAGCTGTGTGCCCTGGGAAGCACCATGGGAGCAGCAGCCCTGGCAGCAAGAGCAGGTGAACAGATGCAGCCCAGTTCACTCACAGTTCATGGCTGGGGCTCTGCTGCCTGCAGAGGAAACAGAGCAACCCAGGTTCCTCCCTTCCTGCCCAGCCTGGAGGGAAGTGTCTGTGTCTGAAGCTAGCAAAGGGGGACACTAATCACTCCTGTCCTGCTGATTACTCAAAAGCAGAGGCTGACTTTCTAAGCTTGTGGTTTTGAGTGTCCCCGCACAGACACGGCGCCTGACAGCACTGCAGAATTTGATGTGTTTATCCACAGCTCCCTGGGACACAGAGGAGTGTGCTCCTCTCTCTCCTTCTGTTTTATGGATGAGGAATGGAGCAGAGATGCTAAAGCTCAGCCTGGCTGTCTTGACAGCAGCCATCAAAGAATTCCACAGCGGAGAAAGGAGCCTGTCACTGAGTATTTCTCCTCCGTGCAGAGAAGCCCTGCAGCACTGGCCAAGGGGCCACTGAGCAGCAGGAAAGGCTCCATCTGGGTCTGGGGAATCATCTCCCTGCTCCCAGGTCACCTTCCTGGAGTTCATGTCCCAAGTGCTCCCATCCTGGTCCCTCCACCTGGGGTAGATAATGACCTGGTTACCTCCTTTCTCCCCTCTTTAGTGCATTCTGCAGGGGAAAGTGATGGCACTGCTCTGTGCAGGGTGCAGCCAGGTTCAGCTGTTGTAAATGCTTAACGAGGCTTAAAGGGGTGGTCACATGTTGGGTTTGAACTGCTAAAGCCTGCATTTGCAGTTGAAAACTCAAACAGTGTAAAAATTGTAAAGTGACTCATAGAATGACTAACATGACATCTGTATAGACTTCAGGAGACATTTTCTACCCTTTTCATACCCAATCACAGATTAATTCATCAGTTTGATAAAATAAAAAGTAATTAATATATTTCTGTCGTGTATCTCCTTGCAGTCAGAATGATAAAATATTCACAAGAGAGGTGGCTTGGAAACACGAATTTGATGAAGATGATTTAAAAAGAAAGAAACTTTAATTAAAGTCTAGAAAGGTCATTGAGTCCTACCATCAGATAATGGTAAAATTATAAAACAGATGGCAAATGTCCCCAAGAAGAAGAGAAGCAGTGGTCTGGAAAAAAATGAAAGAGCTATTGCTAACAAAGTAAATCTCAACTCAGCACAGGCACTGCTTTAACAGCCTGGAGAACAGGGAGAAGTGGCCAGACAGTTTGGACTTGTACTAGACTTTTTGACTGCTATTAAAGATATTTAACTGATGGAGAAGGATGTTGTATTTGATTTGTCTCAGCCATTTCACAGATTTCTTTTTTGACTATGCAGTGTGACAGAGGAAGATTCTTTGGTGTCTCCAGAGAGAGCAAACCTGAGTTGATTTTAAATCTTGTTCCAGAGGAATGCTAAAGGTGAGGACCCACAGACCCAGATATTCTTAGATAACTGTTCAGAACTGAAGCTTGTAGTCAAAATTTCAGTGTTTTAATCCCACTGCTGGATGAGCTGTGTGTGTTGGGAAGGGCTGTGGACTGAACCATGGCAGGGTCATCCCAGGGACACTAAGACCAGGGCATGACACCTCAAACTAACCTTCACCTCTAACCAGAAACCTTTTCTTTTTTTGAAGATCATGGACTGAGACAAGAATAGGAAAGTCAAGCAGATGAGGAAGCCCTAAGATGGCAATGAATGCATAATTTTTGCCTGAAAAAGAAGAGATATCCAGCCTGCCCCATGGCTTAGATGTTATCTTGTATGTTGGGAATTGTGTAATGTATGTGGCAACATGATGCTGTGAAGGTCTTGTATCCTTTCTGTCTTTGAGGGAAATAAGGAGGTTTCAAGAAACCAGAAAACTGGAGTATTTTTATTCACCCTCTGATTAGTCTTAGATTAAGTGTGGGCTGCTGCTTCCCCAGAAATCCCACTGCTGCTCCCAGAGCCTTGTTCAGGTCTTGGCACTAGGGAAGGCCAGGTTCAGGGCTGCTCATGCAACCCTAATTCCCCATGATATCATCTTCACTTATGCTGTCACAATCTATTTCTTCCACTAAAGCCTGTCTCAGCTGAGGCAGAGGAGTGGTGGTGCTCACTGACTGAGCAGCTATTGCAGACACTTGGCTCCTTATTGCTCCACACACAGCCCCAGGCAGGAGCTCCTCTTGGCTTTAAGCTCTCCTGGGATTTTCTTGTGCCTGTTGCTGCAGGGTGAGTAATGGAGGGATGGAGAGATATTGAGAGGTTTGTGAGGAGGCTGAGTACCTCCCTGCAGAGCACCTGAACCATCAGAGCACTTCACCTCCCGCAGCTCCCACCGTCCTGTGGTACCCAAGGGGGTTCCCCAGGAGACTGAACTGTGCTGAGCACATCCCCAGTGGTGATCACACCACCATCCCAGCTAGAACAAATGGATTTCTCTTCTCCTCCCAGCTTTCTAACCTTGCAGACAGAGGAGGTAAATGCTCTCCTTGGCTGCCTGGCATTGACTTGCAGCTCAAACACGTTTGTTATGGTGAGCAATGCTGTTGTGGAGGAAATGTTGAGTGGCTACGTAATGAAACATGCCAACAAAATATATATACACCAAACAGAATTCCCAGGGTCTCATGCTTCACAAACAGAACAGGAGGGCACTTTGCAAAGGCATCTCATTGATTTTAGCAGAGGACAGGTTTCTCTCATCATCTGAGTCAGCCTTGATGTTGCTGACGATCAAACAGCATCCTTGGCACCTGTCTCAGGCTCTCAGCAGGGGGACGTGCTGAGATTTGAAGTGATGGCCTCAGACATTTAAATCACAAATCCTTCTCCCACATTGTAGATAAAAGCAGGTGAAGACAGGCAAAACTAAGCTGTGGCACATGTGACCTGTCAGGGTGGGCTGAGGGAGGCAAACCAGGTTCTACCCCCGGTTATCCACACAGCTCCTCTGCCTGGTGTGACCCCTCCTGAAGCAGAGCTGGCTGAACAGACTGTTAGTCCCTGAGATACCCTACTACTCAGGGATTTCTTCAATAATTAAAACCTGGCAGACACAGATACCTACACCCCATACAGGAGTCCTGCTAATTGTGGCTGGGTGGGCAGCACTGCAGTAAAATTGGTCTATGAACTTCAGCTGGAACCTGGTTCATAAAATGATCTTCAAATGTCCCCAGAGCTCTGCATCCTCTGACCCAGCATCCTCTCTCCTTTCAGCCATCTCTGTGCTTCAGCATTGCCTCTCTATCACAGCAAACTGAAAGACTGAAGCAGTTTCCATGTGCAGTGTTTTATTTGTATAACTCACATGTGAAAGGTCAAAGGTGGGCTAACAGGGCTGCTCTTTTCCCTGACATCCTCAGCATCCCTTTGGCTAGTCGAGATGCTAAAGACAGATGACAGCACAGACCAAACTCTCTTGGTTATCTGTTGGGCACACATTGGATGAACTGAGGCAGACAGAAACCAGATCTACATGCCTTTTTCTTTTCTCTTTTTGAAGGAAAATCGTGCTCCCAGGGAACAGGGATCTAACACAACAGAGTTTGAACATACTTTTATTGTTTTCTGTAGCAATTAGTTGAGTTTCTTTTGGTTTGTCTTTAATCTGTTATCTCATGTCTACTACATTTTCCAGAAAGTTGCTTTGATTTACAATGCATTATAGATTCTAAAGGAAATAACTCCCCTTCCTTTTCCTTATTTAAATTGGTTAATGTGTTTAAACATTTTCTCCCCCTGCCAAAGGCACTATAAAAGAAGGGCTTTTGCTGTGGTGTCCTTGTACCACTCACTGTACATGAGTACATGAAATGTACATCACATGTACATGGTATGTACATGAAAGCTCACTGCTTTCATGTACATACCCAAGTATGCAGCTTCCCTCCATCACTTATAACATTCCATCATCTGAAATGGGTCCTTTAGTTATACTTTGCAAGAAAAAAAAATAATAATTTGAAAGCTGTTGCTTAAGGGATCTTTTTGTCATTTTAACCCCTGGCTAATGCTTTTAAAAGAAAACAAAACTTACTGTTATTTTATTTTAAAGCACAACTCTTATTTCAGAATTACACCTAAGGAAAACGTGCCAGAAGTTTGGAGATTTTGAGGAAAGAAAGCTGAAAATGAGCACACTTTTTGCAAATTCCCCTTCATCCTCTTTGCAGATCCCCTTCATGCACCAGGAGAAATAAAACCATGATTTGCAGGAAATTTCAAGTGGACTGCAATAAAAAAATAAAACAGTTTTTTCACTGTAAATGAATGACAAATGCCGTTTGAGATAGACTTCAAAAGAAAAATAGAGGCGGGCACCCTTCCGCAGGTGTTCACACCTGCAGCACATTCCCA